GAGCTCTGGTGGTAAACACCGCGATACTTTTTTCCTAATAATACAAGCGATATGTGTATCGAATAAAAGAATTTGGTGAGTAGATTGCGAAAAGCATAATGGTGGGTATGCTAGAGTCGGCCGCTGCCGCGTACAACTTTCTTACTTGCGTTTGTTGAAACCGTTCTTTTCATTAAGAGGCGAATAATGGTTGAAATTGACACTACGGAAATTTAAATGGCCACTGGATTATCAATATAGAATATTCCATATATACATATATGTACATTATGTTAGATGTGTAGGATGCACGAAGTCGAAAATTAACGAGCATCCTAATGAGACGCAATCACGCGCTACAGAACCTTTAGCGCTTATGATGTGTGTACATCGATGAACAAATCTTCCATAGGCGAGTAGATGCATGCTTACATTCAGATTGTTTTTGTATATTTTATAAAAACAAAGGATCAAGTTTTCCAAAAATTCTTAACGTTTAAAACTAGAGCGCGGAATCAATTACAAAAATGCATCAAAAATATTCAAAGAACAACAGAACCGAATACACTCATAAAACTTTTAATGAATATTTTGAAATCCAACGCCAAATAACGGTAACATGTTCCTCACAACAAAAGAGCGACGATGAGTGACTTACCAGAACACTGGTAGAAATGCCCAGAAATAAGCTAGTACTAGCTGGTTTAGCGGACTCCACGCGGGTCGAACCAATTGCAACCGCAGCATATATGCACAATCGATCACCAGCTGGAGCACTTAGCAAAAACTACGTATGGAATATGGAGACAAAAAAAACGCTTAGTAAAGCATTAAAAAATTTATGGATGTAAAAGCGTTTGAGAAAACACGGACGTGAAAATTCTTTTTGAAAGGAAAACCATATGGGATGGATAGCTATTCTACTAATGCAAAAACATGTCGACTGCACGACCCTGTTGTGCAACGAAAAATTATTTGAATAAAACCATTGCAATGCCGGCAGATGGTGTTAATATTTCAATATTTAATGAGACTGAGAAAATCAAAATGAAAAGGTAGAACATCAACATCAGAAAGGAAAAATATTACCATCCTCGTTCATTGAAAAGATTTCGACTCAGACAATGAGAATGGCATATTTGAAAATTCAGAAGGCAACGGTTTTAATGAATGCAAGGATAGCAATATTTTTGTGGAAAATAAGTATGCAGACAGGCGGAAGTTGCCAATGCATGAGGATTACGAAGCGTCAAAGAAAAATAATACATGGAACTTTGTAACTTTGTAAAAAGCGGAAATTACGAACAGCTGTGCGATATCAAATTACCAATAGCATCCCGTTTTGAGGTTGTAGATAAAAGGTGCTTGGATTATATTTTGGTAATAACCGTTGAGCACTGTCAAGGAACAAGCATTACCGGTATATGTCATGAACATCTATTAAAGCAACTGTCGCCCTGTAGGTACACCGCTCGACCCTGGATTTCAGGTAAATTTTGATAAAAATGATTGCCCTAAACTAAATATCTGAGAGGACCAAGCTTTGATAGAATCATTAATGTATCTTGTAGTAACTACATATATTGACACATTCCCCCCTGTGTGTAAATGTGCTCAAAGGAAAACCAACCCCTATCAAGCACATATAAACAAGACGTTGGACACATTTTAAAATATCTACGAAGACTTTTCAATTAAAATTAAAATTTAAATGGAATGGCAAACCGGGGTAAAGGTTCGTGCGTAGGGCGGTGGCACTACGAATAGTAAATCCTGTATGAGCCAAAAATTCTTCTTGACGACAGCAGAATCCGCTTGCGCACCAAATAAGCAAAATTCTGTTGCGCTTAGTATTACTGAGAGTTCGTGGCACTCTCAATAGCGTCTGAAGAAGCAATTTACCTAAAGAAAGTCTTTTGTGAAGAAAAGGTGTCTTTGATCACAAATGAAGATAATCTAATCGCACAACCTTTGGTAAATAACCATGTCTACTAGTATCACAGCAAGCGTCAATTACAGTTCGTGAAAGATATGATAAAGGAAAATGTGATCAATCCACAATACATATCGACAAATGAATATACTAACTAGAAATCTATGTAGTCTCAAGCATACCAAGTTTGTGAAAATGCTAGGGACTCACTAGCTAGTAAGTAAATTTCAAAAGAAAGAAAAAAACAGTAGTATTGAAAAAGAACGTTAAAAATAATTAAATTAGCAACACTTCCATCTTGTTAAACGTAACTTTGGATTTTTTGGTTTTGTTAAGTTCCTTTGTTTTTAACACAATGTAATTAAGTCAGTTAAAAATCCATGGCACAATTATTATCGTTAATGTATTATAACATGTTCGCCGCATAAGTGATGTGTATATATTAAATATTTTATAAATAGTTATGTATGATTTTCCATATTATTAACGACGGTCGAAACCCATTAATTTTTTAAGAGATTGGTAACTGACTGCGAAAGTTGTTTCAACTATAACAATAATTTCAAGCAAAGTAATACTTTGCTTTTGGTGCGTTGAAAGCTGTTTTAGCCTGATCTCCCATTGTGTCAATTCCAGTTTTTAATGAGCCTACAAAAATTGGGAAAGCTTGGTTGATTATTTTTATAGCCAGACCTTTGCCCTGCTCTACCACCACTTATTTCGCTTTCAGCAGAACTTTCTGAGGGGTATAAAGCTTACTTCAAGAGGGGCTTGTTTCATTTTCACGTCCAGAATTGTCAGAAATTCTATAGTGTTGCAATAATGTAAGAAAAGTAGTAAGAGATATTGATTTAGTAAAGTTCAAACAATACAAAAAAAAGTATTCGCAATTTGTTGAAAAATCCTACAGTTTTTTCATCACCTAATACATAGCACCAATGTAACAATTGTCGCACTATGGATGCAATTACATTGTGGTAGATTTGCCCATGTAGGATAGGCTTTATAAGGAAATTATATTGTTTACATTACGAATTATTCGTTAAGTAATTATATGGCTTTATAATTTTTAATAATTTGCAGATTAACAACAGATTAAATACATTACAACATACATTACTTATACATACTTCAAACTTATGACAATATAAAGTACAACTGCATTTATTACATTTTGCAAGTAATTAAAAAATAAGCAAATTTAATGGTCACACAAAACTCGCTACTCCATAACTTTGTCTACTCCAATCCAAGATGGAATAGTTTCCATTCAAACCGAAAGCAAACAAATACTTTTTTAAAGTTTTTATCCGATGGTGACGAATTCAATATTACGGGCTACTAATTTGGAGGAATTATATGGGATCCGTCTAATCCATTTCGAACATAGCTTATTGTTGGGCGGAAAAATTTCACTAAATTATATTTCAAATTGTTATCTATAAATCAAAGTTAGATGCAGAGACACCAAACAGCCTGGGCAGTGATTACGTCTTGCATTAACTGGGTTTGTTTTTTGAGTTTCGACTTCTTTTGTTTTATGCATGCACAAAAGGTGCGTGAAACGCTCCCTCAAAATTGTTATAGGCCTATAAATTGTATAGGCCTAAAAATATATAGGCCTAAACAAAATTGCGCATTAATTGCGTTAATATTGATTTTTCTGAGTTGGTGCTGGTTGGTCTTGTTTGTTTAGGGTTGCATTTATAAGAGAGTCCAGCTATACATTGAAAATAAAAAAATTTCAAACAAAATTGTTTACTTACAAACAGCTGAACCAAAACAAAAGATTTTAAATTTGTGAAAGGTGAGTAAATAATTTTTTTTTTTTTAACTACTCTTAGGTCTGTCTCCCTCGACACCAATATCAATCTTACGTTCAATTTCGTATAAACTTCCTGTAGCAAAAAGAATATTCCTCTTAACTGCAAAATAACTTCTCAAGGTAAAAATTTTTAAAGCTGTTTTTTTCGATAAAGTCGCCTGCAAACATATTGATGTCTTCAGTAGTTACCCAAACTGTAACAAAGAATTCAGTAAGGTTTTCAATAAAGTTAACACAATATCCTCTTGGAATATTATTATTCACAGAAAGAGCGTCTTAAAATTAAACATACGTGATTCGATCACGAAACCAAAAAGAAAATCGGTCAAGGTCTTGTCTTCGAACTACGTCGGTAAAAACTCAATTACCTTATTGAAAATAATTTCAAAATATACGCAATGGATGGATCAGTAAATTCGGATATTTTTAGCTTCTCAGTTGTAAAGTATCCAAATTTGCGTTTAGGAAAATTCAAAGTTCTGCAAGAGTTATCATCCACCTTCATTGAACTTCTGGCCATCAGACAGGCAATCCTTTTTGCAATTGAGAACAAATTTAGAAAATTTGCATGTTTTTCTGACAGCAAATCTGCTATGATGCTAATCAAAAATAAGGATCCTTACAACATCTACGTTTTTGATATTTACAACCTCTTAAAAGACGCAAGCATCGAAGAATGCCATCTAATCTGGATCCCAGGTCACAGTGCTTTTGCTATCAATGAAAGAGCAGATTTCTTTGCACGTGAAGCGCAGTTTGTTGACACATTTTCTCCATTAACTATCTTCCCTGCTTATCCGAAAAGTTATTGTAAAAGAAAGGAAAGATGAGTATCATGTTTTAGCTAGAGAAAAAAGTGACCGGCTTTTTTACAAAATTGGCACTTTTTTGACTTCCACACTTTTATCTAAAGGAAAATTTGCAACATGGGAATTTAAAATACTTCATAGACTTATGGGTAATTACACCTATGACAAAATGATTAAAGTCTCTTACACTGATAATTACGAAGAATGTAGCATTACTGAGTCCGCCGAACATCTAATTTTAGAGTGCAGGAGGTTTGACATCCTTAGACAATCTTTCAGTATATTTATCCTATACAACAATTTATTTGAAATTTTTCGTGCTAGAAACTTTATGCATCTTAAGCAGCCGACTGCGTTTATCAAATCAGCGGATTTCTCTTTCTAATCTTCTATATTCATAATTTTGCTCATAAATACAGATCGCCTATATTTTTTTCTTTTCCGGTATTCTCAGCCGAAATTTCGACTGTATAGTACCTTACGAAGCTTATGGGAACAACTGTAAAGTAGTACATCACCTATGTAACAAGCATAAGCATCACTTAAAAAAAAAAGAGCGCTCATTTTACGTTTCTGGATTATGGGTCTAAATTGAATCATACAAGCCTAATCCATATCCAAACAAACAAAAAAAAAATAACTACTCTCAATTCGCCAAAGCGTGTAAATAATTGTGTCTCATCAACCTCTCTGTACTTCAAAATATACTCCGTCACCGTCATTGATAATGCGCTCTACTGGATGCATTGGTGTCTCTAATCTATTTTACATCCAAAACAAAAAAAAAGTAGAGGAAGTATTAATAAATATTGTTATCAAATGACCATGATATATTGAGGAACATTCACACATCACGCGGAACGGTTCCTCTTCCCATACTATGTTATTTGGTAGCAGAGAAACATTAAGATTGAAGGAAAAGAAATCTTGTAAGGCGTAAAAGGGCTGTACGGGACGCTTCAAGTCCCCTTAAGTTAATCGAAAATTTGTAGGTAAATGATTTTATATATTTGTTAAGAATGTATATTAAAATATATATATTTTTTATTTAAATTTTCGCAAACGTCTCGCATGTTGAGAGGTTTTTGAATATATCTTAGGAAAACTTGATAGAAGGAAGTTCTTTTGGTGCTTTTCATGTTCTTGTGATACGTTGCTGTACAACAAAGAATGATCGAAATATAGCTAATATACAATGGTTAGGCGGAAATCACATTTTCGTAAGCCCGTACAAAATTATGAGCGTTTCATAGACCGAAAAGACAAGGATAAACTGAATGGGATGGTGGCGAGTTAAACTGTATCATTTATGTGTCTGCGTATACACATATAAATATATAAATTGCCTTTTTTTTTCGAAATAAATTTCGAATCATAAAGGCCGTACATAACTCGCAACCAAATATCTTTGTAGGAATGCGGTTCGAATGAGAGCTAGATAAATAAAAGATACATAATAATTGGTGGCAATCTGTATAGATTGGTATAACAAAAGACAAATTTCTCTTAAATTGTTGAACTTAAAATATTTCAAATAGTGGTGCAGGGTATAAAAAGTGCCTAAAGATTCAATATTAATAAAGCAAAGTTGAATAGTTTTGATTTATGTATTGAGGTTAATAAACTGAAGAGCATCTAGGATTTTCAAAAAATCAGATTCTATTTAAGTAATCTGATTTTTTGGCTTTCTTGGCTTTTCAGTGAACAAGCCGCTTAGGTGGTGGTGAACGCAGTCCTACTTACTGGGGCACAAGAAGACATATTGCAAAGCTGTAGAAATTAGGCAGATTTTCGCACAGGCAGAAGTTATTGGGGCTGTACGCGGTAAAATTTTTTTATAAGACCATATATACATATGCCGGGCTAAATCCCCTTTTAGCACTGCGGAAAATAATATAAAAATTCCTATTGTGCAGATTGGTTATAATTTTTAACTGGATTCAAGTCAAATATCGCATACAACCTCAGGTGATTAGATGGATCCATGGAAGCATTCGACATTTTCATAATTTTCACATATGGTAAAGTAAAGGAGGAATTTGGGCAGTTGGCTTTTTAACCAATGTAGGTTTAATTTAAGGAAGTTAATTTGACTAAGTCCTTAAATAATCCATACTTGCTAATAAAATAAGCTTTATGTTATAAAATAATATTTGAGCCGATAGCCTGTGCTGCTAGTGCTCAATGTCTTTTTTTTTTTAGTCTAAGAATTTATTTCATTAGTCTAAAATTATAATAATAATAATAATAAAATAAAGCCATAAATGCAAGTCTGGAAATAAATATTAAAATGGAACCATTTTAAACGTAATATTATGTGTAGTTTGAAGAGCTTTTTGATAAGATATAGCTAAAGCGTCGACGTCTTTTATAAATATATTTGTCATATATGTGATTTTAAATATGTAAAAACTTAAAGTTCTACTACTTTGTATATTTAATTAATAAAAAATTTAGTAGACAGAATCATTATTTATTACTATCATTTTACTACCCTAAAAATTATTTTCCTATAAAAAAGAACAGTCACCTTCTGAATACACAAACTGCAATCCATAGCATGTGATAAAAAAAATTATTGATAGATTTGTACATCTAACTTATAGTAGATACATGACTTTTGTTTAATTTCAATTCGCTAATTAACGCAATTGAAAGCATCGCTCTTATTTCTGATTCCTGAAGAACTTACCAATTTGGAAAAAATCCAATTGTAAAAAAGTTAAAATTCTTACAGTGCTGATTATATGTATTTAATTCACAGTCAATATTATTACTTGAAATCATCATAGCTAGAAATTGGATTGCTTATTTTATAGGATTCTATAGGAATCGGAAAAAGTAACTTAATAAAGTTATTAAGAGCATTTACAGAAAGTAGGAGCACAATAACATTGGTTTGTAACTCGTACATATTGTGCATATGTGCAAATTACCGATAAATTTTCATATAAACCAGAGGGTAAATTTTCTCGTTTTATAGATAAGTTCCGTGCACAAGCGAATGATATTGAAGAGAAATTTTAAGTAGAGTAAAATCCCGAATGGCGTTGCAAGTAAATTTATGGAAAATACTTGAAAATGGAAATAAGACAATTTTTAAATATTTTTCTTAGAAATTTAACCAACTAGGTGAATATGGTGGAATTTCGTTAAATATTTAAAAGAACCGAGTGGAAATACATTATAAAAATAATTCCAATTCACTTAATGAGATAGCACTTCATTTTTGGATTCAATTATCACTTGATCTCCAGTCTAAATCTCGAAATCTATGAAAAACGTCAAGTGCTGTGATAGTCTAACATCCCTCTAAAGATAGAATAAGCTGCTAATTGGATAAACATTCTGGCTTGCGCTTGAATGCAACCCTTGTCGGCTATTACAATAAAATCAAAGAAAGCAAAATCGATACTCTTTGAAGAACAAAAAGCATTTTTGCGGTCATTGATGTGAACTCGCAGCGCTTACCGGTGAATATGCATTGAAATATTAACATTAAAACCGGACATATTCACAGCGGTAGGATTCATTTATTTATTTTTTTAATAGTAAGACTTATTGAATGTATGTCTTTATATTTTCGTACGTAAAGATGTCAAGCTCCTCACTGATGACTCCGTTAACATGTTCTATACATCTTGTTTACACTACAATCGCATTTATCAAGTAAAAACTGGGAAACAGTCTTTTATTATGCACTGAATCATTTTCATTTATTTTTAGAGCAAACTTGTCATTTAAAAAAATTTCTTTCAATAACTTTTTGAAGAATGAACATGATACTAAATAAATGGAACTACCATTATACATATTTTTTTACTTTCATATGTAAGAAAGGCATTTTTGCATGTATGTGTGTTTATGACACAACACTTCTTAAGTGTCACTAACTTAGTTTTTATTATGTGTAAAACCGTTTATAACTTACAACATACTGAATCTTTTATATTTTGATTAAACATATTCTTTAAAGAATTTTTATTTTAGAGTTATATTTTGAGATGCGATTTGAAATAGATCTGCGGAATTGACGATGTAATGAAAAAACAGACATGAACAAACTTTACTCTTTTGACACAACTTATAAAATAAACAAATTTGACAAACTGAAGCAATAGCCGTCCCACATCTAACGTACGAATAAATGTATCATATAGTTACTCCTGCTGTGAAGTCCACAAATGACACTTTTCGGTATGAAATAAGGATGAAACAGATAAAATACTTATTAGTTGTGTTTATGTAGACGAAATCGGAGGCATAAGAAAGCTTTGCATGTGTGGCTTAACATATGGCCTGAAAAGCTAGAAAAGGGCGATTAAGCAACGACCAGAATAAGCAATACATGGCGAAATTTTCGAATGATAATTGAATTAAACGACTAAAAATATGAATAAAAATGTAATGATATAATAACGAAATTTGTGAAATGACTTTTAAGATCAAAATAAATCAATTTTTTTAAGAAATTAATCCTTTTTTGGTAACGTATATATTCTTTGTTCACTTAAAAAACGTTATGACTGCTTGTCAAAGTCCAATAAAAAGCTGAAAGCTGGACAAATTTTGAAGCGTGCAACGCCTACAAATCTTTTCCCTAAAGAATTTTATGTGTTGCTAGTCATCGTTTTTAATGTGTTAATGTTGATTACAACGTCTTCGAACCAAGAAGAAAATATATTATGTGCTTTAATATGATAAGAGTATGTCATATAAATCTGAAGTTATTAGAATGTTTTCTTATTCCATTTGCTTGGCTTAAGTATTTGATCTGGGAAAAGTAACTAACACTTTCGTTTCGTCGGTGACTACGGGAAACATGTATCTGAAAGTTACCTTATGGTTTCGTTTTCCGGCTGATTTGGAATCACGTATACAGCATTTCTTGAAGACTTTTTTGCATCACATATGCATGAAAGCTGTTATATACACTCTCTAATATTTGTTAAATCAAGCGAAAACTAAATAGCTCACATTTTGGGTTAGTATATATAGTATATACGATATTAACTCGGGTTAATTTTCGAGTTTCGACTGATTCTGCTATGTGTATGCATGAGATGTACAAGAAACGCTATCAAATTAGGCGTAAGTAAAATAACTTCATGCTAATCGGTAGTAGAGAAGCATTGGGATTAGTGGATAAGGAATCTTGCAAGACGTAGAAGGGCTCTTCGGGACACTTCAATTCTTTTTACGTTAACTAAAAATAAATCGATTTATATATTTGACAAGAAACAAATAAACAAAAATATACATATTGTCACATTGTTCTTTAAAAAGTTTTTCAATGCATTTTATGAACAATTGGCGCGAGTGATAGCATAAGGAGAACTTACATTCCCTGGTAATCCGTCTGCTCCTTACGGAGAAGTTTTTGGGGTCTAGAGGCTATTAATGGCTGGCGGGTAGCGATTTCTAGTTAAGCGTTACACAGAACATATTTTCTGTTGTTGTATCAGAAATGATACAAGAAATGGAAGAAAAGCTACGCCGAATGGATTTGTTTGGGTATAAATGCTAACACAAAGTACGCTTCCACGGGATTGTGGTATTCCTGATGGTAAGTAACTTCTCTTTGTGCTTTCTATGGCGTTGTGACGCATTGTTGCTCTTCTTTTGCACTTTTAAATTGAATCGT